AGCCGTTTAGCCATCACCCCAACAGTTTTTTCCATAAATTTCCGATATTCCGATCAGCTACAGTTCACAGCTAGTAACATTTTCAGTTGCTTTCAATACAGTTGCATCGTCCAAACGTCCGTCTGCTTGCAATCCTGGCGTTCTTTCCGGCCCTATTTCACAGTCACATTTGTAAGGAGGGAGATCGGGATAATATTACCACAGAACTGAACAGTAACGATGGAGCATCTGCTCGCACGGCAACACTAAACAAGGCAAAAAAAGCAAAGAACGATGCAAAAACAAACTCATTTTTGGGGCCACGATGTAGTTCCTTCTCTCGCCCGTCCTTTTTCACGCCACAGATCTTCAACTCGAATTTGTACACCGAACCAATGGCACGGGACATGTCCAATTCATAGCCATTCACGCAAATACGCAGCTTATTTGCCTGCGCATAGCGACGCGTCGGAGCCGGTTTTGCTGCAAATACGTTGCTTCATTCAGCGTAATGCACGTGAAATCACCAGTTTCTTTCGGCCAAATAAAATTATATATTTAAATGAATGGAAGGCGCCAGTAGTACCTGGCAGAACTACATTGCTGTAATCCTTACGTTCCTTTATAACTTCTTTGACTTCACTCGACGACTCAGCCATCTTCTGCAAAAAACCAACAACAATTCCGCATAACAAGAATTTTTACTTTCTAAATAATAATAAGTCAACTTTTACTTTCTAAATAAGTTTAAACAATAAAAAGTTATATTAATAGTTTACATATTAACATAACTTATTATTTAAACTTGGCAGCTTGAAGCTGCTACCGCTTGCAATCTTTACGCGTGTCCGGTGGCAACTTGGAGCTGCTGCCGAGCAATTTTTGGGGGTTTGTTTCTTTTTTATATGCTCCAAAGCTCGGCTTCGAATGTATTGGAGCCCAAGCAACAGTTCCGTGCGACAGTCGTCCAAATCTATCATGTACCCCTGGTGGGTTGCTGCGCACCGCTTTTGGGCCAAATTGGATCGATCCCATAAAGCAGAAAACAAGGACTCTCGCCTGTACTGTCTTGTGGTGTGGTATTATAACTATACAAGACAAACGGCAATTTGCAATCCCATTCCATGGACAGAGTCGTACTCCTTGTATAATAGTAAGTTACATTATGAAAAAAGATGAACAGAGAGAGGAACAGGTAAGAAGAGATGAGAATTAGTTTGTGAATTATTTTAACAGTAAGTTTATACTGTCTTAAAACTTGGAATGAAAGGTACACAGCG